TGCGTTGATTGGCTCCGAGTCCACGCGAAGGTAGAGACAAGCCTCGCGTGGTGCAGGCAGAGAATCAACCGAATGCGTGGTGCAGACAGTGAATTGCAACGAGACAAATCGAAGCCGGGCAGACGTGCGTGCCATAGCAGGCTGTCGCTAGAACGTAAGTGCAGGCGCTAGCGAGAGGCGCGACGTAGCCATTATGACTGTCCACTACACAGCCAGCGAGCGATCATCTTATGAAATGTTGACCGAAATTGTGAAATGCGTATTCGATTAGAAAGGAGCACTTAGGAGGTATTGTAATACTGATTATCTTGCGACAGAATGTCGTGATATTTCAGACACGCCAAGGTCTTGGGTTTTAAATGCACTTATTTTTTGCCACCCGTAATGACTGCCCACTCAAGTAGTCGGCACTTTTTCTATTGATTATCAACGCCTTTACAAATCCAAATATATTTTGTGGAAAGCATGCATGCAAATATTCTTTCTGCACTCATTTGGTCGCAAAGCGCATCTTCTGCAAATTTTACACCCAAAGAAGGGGTATCTTCAGGTCTTAAAACAGTTTTCCAATTCCCAATCAATTTTGAGCTCGATCTGCCGCTACAATTGCGTTTGGGGTTTTTGGCTCTCTTGTGTATACTTTCCGCGTGATGGAAAATATTCATTCCCCTACTTTATTAAGTAGACGTCATACAGGGTTCGTAAAACTGTCAACGGATGTGGACTCTGGTATACACTTCATGATGACAGTTCGCTTATCGTTGCCGACGATGTCCACCGGGTGCTCCACAATAAGGTAGAACAGGCACGGTGACTTGCGCGTGCTTTAGTTTATAATGAGTGTAGACTTGCGCTGCATCTACCGCACTCTCTCCTCCTCCCCCACCTGTACCCGATGTCAAGACATAGTGGAGAATACAGGAGGCGGGGGAGGGCGCAGCTGGCTGGCACGGCCAGACCCGCACCTAGACGTGCCACCACACCCCCTGGTACACTTGACCAGGATACATTCAATCTAGTTACGAGAACGCGCAAGCGTCCATGATAAAAAGGCGAAGACGCAATATGTCACGATAACCTGGGTTTTATTCCCTGCGTTGGGTTACAAACTGTATCCTTGCCCTTTATTTAATCAAAATACGATCCACAAACTCGACTAGCATTCATCGACGCGTTTTCAGAGGAGGTACTAAGGCGTGTTACGGACAAAGGGTAAAGATATGTGATCATCAGCCACTTGTCTGCAGTCCTAGATTCTGGTGTGTCCGAGATTTGAATTCAAGTTCAGAGAGTCAGTGGACATTTAGGTCCAGTGCGCTATCCAGATGGACTGTCGCGCATGCGGTCTGAGATCAGGAGGAAGGATTCAGGCTTTATGGGGTTTTTCGCTTTTCAAATTTGTGTACTGCTCAAATATACTGGGTCTGGTAATGCATCATTTCGACGAGACAGCTCCTAGTCACGGGGAAGTTCGTAATCCGTTGGCACACGGCCACGTGAATGAAGGCGGATGACGTAACACTGCGTGGTCAAAGCATGTAAACTTTAGTAGGGGACGCTCACCGATCGTTCTTACGGAACTCACTCGTTCCGTTGTGCGTTATGGGCTCTCTCCCGAGCCCAACTAGCAGCCGCACAGCGGCGCATGATATAGGCAGAATGGCATTACCGACAAAGACAAAGGACAGTCAAGACAAGCGACAGACAAGACAGTTTCCCTTGTCTTTGTCGGTAATGCCATTCCATGTTAACTTTCCCCTAATGATTCCCGATATGGGTGGTCGATCGTAACTGTAGAGCAGATTCGGCTCCTCTCGGTTTACCAGACTCGACTGTTTTATCGCTTATTCTGAGGCCTCATTTCAATCTGGTGGCAGCATAGTTACGTTGTAATGGTTTCTCGGTTTGCGGAGGACGGCAATGCATACTTTCCCTGACACATCACCCGAGAGTCAACAGAAATGGGTCTGGCGAATACTTTCATCCTCTGTCGCCAAAATGACTATTTAAGTAGCATGATTTCGCCCTGATTTTCAATGTCCCTATAAATTAGAGTGTATTTCATACAGTATGCACACTTTACGCTCACTTTTGTAGTAAATTGTGTCTTCCTCAAATTTCGTACTGTAGGAAAGTGTATTTAGCCGTTTAAAGGCTGCAACTTACAAGATTCTTAAGACAGTGGAGTGACCGTTCAGATGACCAGCAAACGACAAGGTTTTTGACAGAAAGCGTCCGCAAAAGTATTTGTTCTTGTGCTCTTCTGGCAGCAATTTACATTTTATTCAAATTCTACATTCAAAGAAAGAGTACCGTTCGGTTTTAAAGAAGTTTCTAAGTGCGAGATTTTTAAGGCCGTAAAATCCTCATTCATAGTAGTTCGACCGTCACAACCGACGATGTCCACTGTTTGCTCCACAACAAGGTGAAGCAAGCACGGTGACTTGCGCGTGAATGCAAGCTTGGTGGTGGACTTGCGCAGCATCTACCGCACTCTCTTCTCCACTCCTCACCTGAACCCGGTGTCAAGACAGAGCCAAGATAGACCGATGGCGGAGGAGGGCGCAGGTGGCTGGCACGGCCGGACCCGCACCTAGGCGTGCCACGACACCCTCTAGTCCACAACATACACTTGGCCGGGATCTTTCACCAACAACAATAACGTCGGAAGGAAGAGGATGACTGGGCAGGTCATCGTATTTACCTAATGTTCCCAAGTCGAATAATCGCGATAGGAGTTATGGAGAAATGAAATTCCGCATTTACCATCTTCTTCAACTGGTCGGTCTTTAAAGGCTGCAGCGCAGGCAAGAATGCTGGGACAAATATAATATCGTATGTGGCTACTTACAAACAAAAAGTAGAAATGTATTATACTTGTAGGGAACAATATACAGTGTGGTCAGTTTCGATACACATCCCAGGCGTTGAAAGCCCCGGCCCCACCTGCGGCTGCAGGCGACGTGGTGAGGAGCCAGTGCAACGGTGATGGCATAAAGAGGCAGGCTCGGACGGACAGCGTCAACTGGTCAGTGTCCTTGGGTTGAGTTTTGTTGGCGTCAGCGGAGGGGGCGTCAGCAACCTCGGTGGAAACGGCGGTGACAGCGGTGGAAGATAGGGAGGCCCATTCACCCAGAAGACAACCACCGCCCAAAACGGCACCGGGACTTACAAGGGTGCCTAGGAAGCGCAGGCGGGTTGGGGAGGTGGCCAGAAGCCTGACATCACCGTTCCAGAGGGCGACGGCGAGTAGTTTGCCATCGTCCCGCCAGGCCAACGCACTGACACCGTGCGAACTGGGCGGCAGGGAGCGAAAGGATTTGGAGGGACGGATGAGTGTGTACTCATTGGTGTCTAAACGAACCGGAAAAATTGCGATAAGTTCGTCACTGAAGTAGGCAAAGCCTGTAAATCTAACTGACAGTCATGTGGGGTTAAGCCATACTCTTGGATCAGATAACTGCCCTTGAGAATGCCATGGACTGCAAGGGGGGGGGCGGTAATGGAAATGTTTTGAAAGATCGAGGGGAAATGCACACCCCGGCACAAGATTGCCTGATTGGATCGCAGTCTACTTCTGACCGTTATGGTGAAAGGAGTGACGTAAAATCGGAGAAGACGGATGCATACTGCCATTTCACGGTCATTTATTGATTTTCCGATAATAGCAGAAACTGCAGAAGGACGAGGGAGACTGGTATGGTCATTTCTGGCTTATTAACTGTTATATACCAACTAGACCAAACGTTGGGGTTCGGAGTTGGCCTCTTTAAATGATCATCTGGCGTTAAGTTTAACAATCTGCCAGTAAGCCACGAACTCGTTTTTCAGTCCACTGCCATCGGAGATATTAAATAGCACGGAAGGGTTGCTCATCGATCCGGTTACGGCAGTTATGCAGAAGGAAGGCGGTATGCGACTGCCCGCAGGGGTTTCGACTGAATTTTCGGGGCGAAGCAGGACGAGAAGATTCCGCATCGTAGCCTAATCGGTCAACAACCCTTCCATGATAGCTTAACCAAAAGACTTTCCATCGGCTTTACGCCACTTGGAGACCAGCTAGCCAACGGGATTGCGCAAGTGTGTGCTTCTGCTTCTGGGAATACCTACTGACCTTGCATACAGTGACCCTGATTTGCGTCTTTGCTGCAGTGGGCTTGTACAGACAAAAAGCTTCCAATTCTGACGAAATAGGTCGTTCTTCTCATGTCGTCTCGATGTATTTTAACCAACAAGACGTTTGGACTGTCTGGCAGACGTCTTTTGTGGACAAGCAAGTCAAAACGTACCGGCACGACGCAGTTGCAGAAGCTCCAAATCATGAGCTGCATGCTTCTGGGTCCTTGAACTGTCCACCACCTCTATGGCAGTCCGTCCGACTGCGACCGGGCGAAAGGCCTCGCCATCCGGGGCGACAAGGTCGGGACCGAGAGCCAAGCAAGTGATTGGACGACACTCTGCAGTCGATTCAGGCGAAACCCTGAGAAGCGGTTTGCCCTCGCAGAAGAGGAGGACACAGCTGGCTTCAAAGGCGGCCAGAAAGAGACAACGAGGTGAAGACCCCAGTGGGCCGGGGTCCTCCGGGAGCCCACAGAGAGCCATACACATTCCCAGTTTGGAGATGAGAGCAGAGTCAACGCTGGCCACGGTGAGATTGTCTTCTGAACGGATGGCTTCTATTGTCAAGTCCGGACTCTCGCTGGATTCTGTTGTGACGAAGGCCAGGAAGGAGAGGGTTGCTTCCGGACTAGGATCGACTCGCCACGCACTGAATGCGCAGAATGTGAATTCACAGCAGGGAAGCTCGTGGGCACCTAAATGTCCGAAATGTGCACTACTCATAATTTGCAAGTAGGCCATAATTTAGTGAGGGCGAAGTAAACGATGATTTTCATCAAGTCGTGATGAGAGCCCTAAAATTGCATGCGAACATAGGGTCAGAACAATTCCACCCGCAAATTAGAGCCGACAGCCTCGATTCCTAGTCGTTAAGATGGTCAGAGAATTGGCCGGACTAAATCCTTGCACCTTCTGTTGCGAGTTTGAGCCCCCCCCCCAGGTCGTCGAGTTTTCGAAGGTGGACGGCCAATTAGATTGTCGAAATTCATCACAACACCTACTAATGTCGTATTTGACTACTTGTTGCCACTAACGTATTCCCGACTCGACGCTTCATGCTTGTAATCATATTGATGATATAACTGTGGTGGTACCTGGACGAATGGAACCATTGTAGCTGCCGCCCCAGTCCCCCTTTTCTCCGGCTCCATCTTGTCGGACGATGGCCGCGACAATCGTTGACAGGCCGCTGACACACGACCACCCCCGCCGGCTAGAACTGGGGCCCCTCCTGTCCAGCTGCAGTGACCCCCGGCTTCCCCCACAAACTATTATCACTTCATGCGCATCGGACGGCCTGGCTTGATACCCGTGAGCCCATGTGATTATGCGTCCCCCTAATCCTCCTCTAATTCGTCCAATCTCATGATCAGCACTCAGCCAGTCACCCCCACCCATTGAAACAGACTTTCGCGCCGCGTAAACGACACATCGCGACTGACGCTCTCCGTGAACGGACGCCTATCTCTGTTGCAAGCAAACAGCCAACTTACGGCAACCTGCCCTGTGTACAGAATAAACTAGTCCTCACAGCTCCCTGACTTCTGACCTTAGACGAAACGAACTTATTGTGCGTGGTTTAAGTTGATCTCACATGGTTGACCGCCACACCATCATCGCACTGGCTGTGTGGGATGCATCGTGGACGTGTTGCAACGTAACCCTTGATTAATTAATCCAAGCAATGCTACTTTACACGGGACCACGCGATATGAATTGCTGAATTCCAGTGACTTCTCTTCAGATGCGAAACGTGAATAGGATGCCTTCATCATACTCTTCGTTGCACAAACGAGGTTGAAATGCGCGTAGCGATGTTAAAAACCGAGAAGATTTGTGTAAGTAAGGTCCGGATGCAAACGGATTTGTCAGCAAGCAACATATCTTTCCTACAGATTGAATTTTATAAGTACCTGGTTCCAAGGGGCAATATGTATTGCGCCTTATCCGTATCTTAGCAGTCTTTTTGTCCACTGACACTGCTTTTCAAAGTAAACGTCAACCTCTTGTAGTACGCCACATGCCGATGACCAGCTACAACTACCAACTATAAGCCAACTTCGTAGATAATTTCTGAGAAAATTAAAAAGCGACAATTTCTAAATTGGAGTATCTACCAGAAAACACACGGGGAATGCTGGGGGACCCACTGACGAGCCGAACCCTCGCAGCTGCGCCATGCAGCGGCAAAACATCGGCGAAACCCGCGTGTATGGGCTTTTGGCTAGTATCTGTGCCGTTAGTATGGTATCACCTTACCCTAAAGTATAAGCCATGCGCCAAACGCACACAGGGACGCCAGGAGCGCTTTGATTGGACACTACTCACGTGCTGGAGGGAAGATTCGGCCATCAAGCCAGTCCTCCCAAGTACAACCGGTAAAGACATCTCACAGACGCGTTTGGTGAGGCATTCCAGAAGTACACGGTGGGCTTGCCGCGAAAGCAGACATATTAGATATATTATGCATACATTGGAAGCAGCCATGATAAATTCGCAAGTTTAGCATAGCAGGCGCAAAATAAACGAGGATAGTAACTCGCAGATGTTATAAGTCGGTCTAAACATCAAAGTTACATGAATCAGTCGTAAGGGGCTGAACTAATCATAGAGTGCGTCACCGTTTTCCACATTCGATTTACCAAACGCAGCCTTTATGCTTTATTTCGAAATTAAAAAGGAAACTTGAAGTAATCAGCCGATACGAAATTTCAAAATTTGGCCCGAAATTCCGTGCATATATTCGAATGAGCACCCGCAGCTACAACATAATGAAAGTGTACCGTTCACATCTACCAAATCTATCAGTCTAGTAGCTAACTCCTGATTTCTTACTTCATTCTAAATTCAGTGATTCTAACTGAGACGGTCTTAAATTCCATGACGCACTAGGCGAAAAAGTGGAGGATTCCCGGTGGGAACTGATCGTGATTGACCTAGTGGTGAAAATAACCGTCTTGCATAATTATGACTACAAAATAATGCCTACTGATTAGATAAAGTAGAATTATTCACTAATTGTAAATGCGAATGGCGACGCACATGTGGCGTGGCCCAGGGCGACGTCCACCCGCCAGAAACGAATATAGCCATCCCGACCCTGCGAAATGACACATGGAGACGTGGAGACGGCGGTCCACAGATGAACAGCCAGTCCAATAACCTGACAGTGGGAGTGTGCCCTCCAAGCGAAGAGCTGGCGTTTTTGGGTAAAGCTAGAAGACGCCACGATCCCATCCATGTGTCCAGTGAAGACGATGACGAGGGAGGAGTCATCCTTGTGGGAAGTTTGCAGACAGGCCAGGGAAGTGCATACTGCCGTAGCTATCTTCTTCTCCCCAGCCGGACCTACCAGAGGGATCGTTAAGGCGGGAAGCTGGAAGAGGAAGAAGCGATGGAAAATGGGGGGAAGGGTTGAGTAAGGGAAGGAACTAACAATCCCATCTAAAAAAACTATTCAACAGCTTGACCGTCGTGATCGGTGATGCCCACAGTGTGTACCACAGCAGTCCACAACCCACAACAGCCAAATTGAGGATAGACGAAGCCGTATCAAGTGTGAGTGGGTACAGGTCTAAGGAGCGTACGCATATTCGACAGCTACGGCTGTAATGACACTTCCGCTTATTTAGTATCCAAAAACCCCGCCCACCCTAACTGAATGAGGCCTGGGCCAGATCGTCTGTGGAGCGTGCAGAGGGATCAAATAACTCTGTCAGTCACTGCCCCACACCTACCGCCAGTCGTCTTGACCTTGTCATCGGAAGAGAGAGTGAGGTAGGCGCGTCGAAAGTCACCCCTGCTGGGCCCATCTTGTTGAGCATTTGTGGACCTTGTCGTTCTTAACGGTTGAGGTTCTCAAAAGTCAAGCTCGCACATTTCCTCCAATCAAAATATTCGCCTCTTTCAAGCACCTATTGCCCGCAAAATAACTTCACAAATTGAACTTGTTTCTGGGCAGTATTTCGTCAGTTTCGGCGCATTCTGAACGTCGGCTAAATAACTGGAGGAAAGACTACTAAAGCCCAAAGTTTCTTCGTCAGTACGTCCAAGCACAAATCTTACCAGGTCATCCAGCTGAACTAAATGCTGTTTTGGACTTCTTAAGATATCAGAAATTTGAACAAACCGTCAGAAACATGCCTAATATCCGTGTTTACCATACGGCTACCCTTTGCGCAGTTCATTTCCCTATGTACTTACGTGCTTCTGTGCATGGCAGCGCAGTTTAGCAGACAAAAGGTCACTGAGGGTCTTCTCAAAATTCCCTACCGGTTTATGCAGTAGGAAGCCCGAGGCTGAGCTAACAGTCAGGCTGCGTCTTGCCGGGATTCTGCCATGAGACAAGCTCACCACTGAGCAGATTTTTGGTAGCTAGCCTCGGAAACCGAAAACCAGAATCAATACCCAATCCGTCAGTAAGATTTTTGAATCGACTTGGCTACTTATAACTTTCCTTATTTCGCTTCCTCCGGTGTAATTTACCTTCTTATCAATCTCCCCAACCTGTCTTCGGCTTTACCCTGGCGTACAGACAAGTTCACTTACAGTCGTCCGTAGGCCCGCTTGCATGTGACTGCGGTGATGATAACTCACAAAAGATTGTCACTGTGTCAAGAACTCTGGTGGAGCCGAGGCGTGTCTCGGTGACGAGGTTCGCACTGGTGACAACACAAACACCAAAACGCCAAACGAGTCAACGCTCACACGCGAAGCAACTGATTGGCCAGTACATAGGCCTATGACATGCATCCCCGGGATAATATGAACCTTTTGGAGACAACGCCTGTCCGTCAGTGGGTGCTGGATATTGAAATGACTTTAGCGAAAGTTGGCTGCGGAATTAGCAGGCCCTCATGACCAGAGGGCGACCCGACAAAACACTACCTATAGAAAGGTCACAGGTCGTAGCCGCATTGCGAAATGACGAATGTACTCGCGACCGCTGCGATAAATTCTGACCCAACTGGTCTATATGGTGTCGCAGATGGTACCTTTCCACTTGGTAGATCTTAAGAGCTTGATTCATTCTCTTCTTCAGCAACGAGATCCAATACTAGAGGTCCAAGAACCACTTCCATGTTTTGACTGATTGTTTTGTGGGAGTTTTTGAACTGAGCTCCTCGTCGGCGACCTCAGATGGACGGCAGCGTGGAAGTCATGAAGTGGGTGACAAAAAACAACGTGCCCAAACCAACTCAGCGGGTGTGGACGAAGTCGGTGCACTTCACTCGAATGATGGTTCTCAGATAACGGTGCGCAAACACCACCAGCTTTTTATTTATTTTTTATTCGTTTCCAACGTGCACAACACAGCACAGACAAGCGCGCAGGACAGACCCGTGAGATGCCTGGTAAACGCGGATCTTCGCGACGGTGGAGATATAGCGTCGAGTCCAAGAACACCACCTGAATATTGTGGGAAACCTGCGAGTGACGCCGACTCGGAAGACGATGTCGTCCCCCGAGGAATTTGAAACCGTCCCCTTCCGCATGCTGACAGTCATTAGTCCTGAGGGGTGCCCTCGCCTGGCCAGAGATCCAGCTTCAAAACATTTTCCCTCGTTTTGGGTAAATAAAATGATTTGGCGGCCTCATTCGCCCGTGACATCACAGACTGTAGGCCACCATAGCGAAGACAAGGTCTGTCAGCCGGCTTCGGGGTACAGCGTAAAGCCCTTCCGGGAACGTGCCGTGGTTAGACAGAATGGAAGACTAGATGCAACCTTGCCGAACGCCAGGCCGAATATGAAAAATCCGGAGCTCATTGTGAACTAAAACTGACGGAGCGATGGCAAGCCCTGACCATAACGATTATTTTCGCGGACATAGCATCCTGATCCATTGTCCGCCGCAGGGACACTCACGATCAACGGGATCGAAGGCTGCGGTGACATCGACGAAGCAGACAGCCGTTTTTTGCTGGTGGTAACCATAGCGGAATCCAAAAATGCGCCGCAATGGGAGTATCGGATCAATGCATCCACGTCCAGCTCGGAACCCGGCTTAGTTGGGCCTTGGGCATTGTCTCATATCCCTTCTTGAAGATAGGCGTAGAGATGTCCGAGCCACAGTCATCAGGAACGGTCTCGTCTTCCCATACTCGTCCAGTATCAACACACAAGACTTGTAGACTTCGGAGGAAATATCGCCCTCCCCGACCGCCTGATTGTTGTGCCGCCTACGTATTGCACCGGCGATTTCTACCTGGGGAGGAGGTCACATGATATTGTATAGGCTGGAGAGAAGAGAGCGAAGGCATAGTGGGTTAGCTATCGACCTCGTGAAGGCACCTGAAATGCTCACGCCAGCGCCCGACTTCGGCCGAGTTGCCAGCAACGTAGTCGCCACTCACATCGCGAAAATGGCCACTCAGTGAAGAGGGCTTCTCCCCGACTTGGGTAACCACTAAAGGCCGCTATTTCAGCACAATAGTTTGCCGTCATTTTGCGGTGTTGGAGGAAGAAATCACCGTTATGGGGAGGACGACTGGAGGGGTTCTTGTGCTAATCCAGCCACCGCGGTGTCGCAGGGAAAATCAGAGAACTCTGGGGTTTGACTAAAAATAAGAGTCGCGGATAAAATAACACTTTTTAACCAAGCTCTAAAATTTCCATTAACTTAGGTATCTATCCCGATCTCATGTTATTGACTGGATGGTGTCTTTAGATATCATGGAGCATTGACAGGAACTTATAAATGCATTTTTGAGTAGGACAGGGAGGATGAGCTGGCATGAAAGACTAATGTTTTCAGATGCAACCTGTCACGGTCACACTCGCTTGATATGGCTACTGACTGAATCTAAGTAGCTGGTTTATCCTCGTGATCCATTTTATCCGCGACTCTTATTTTTAGTCATGGTAGCCCTAGCCACCTGAGCTATGAGGCCCTGCCGGAAGACGTAAGTTTAGTCACATTTGGGTTGAGTTACCCGTCCAACCTATTGCAACGTCTGGAATCCACTAAATTTGGCACAGTAAGTCGACTGCCCAAGCAGGATTTCTTAAGTGATCCACCATATGACTACCAGGCTCACGTAATAAATAGGTGTTTTGACAGGTTTTGAATAATTCATACTGATCCACCTGAGAAAGAATCGGTGTCTCGGACTAAGATTAGACGAGATGGAATTCCAAAAGTTCGCGGACAAGAACATGGCCTGACACGCGGTCGTTGATAGTTCTGACATCAGGCATCGATCCGCTATCATTAATCCAGCTATGACTTCTTGAATTAAGTCAAAAGTAACCAAGACAGTTATTTTAGAAGCGTCTGACCCAGTCCGACCAGCCCAGATCCCGGAGAGGGACTAATTTGACCGACTTTTTTATCGCGATGTTCCACGTACGTGGACGCAATAAAGTACGAACTTCGTGTTATGCAAGCTGGCCGATCATTGGCCGGGTCCCACATAAGTGGTATGTAGTTCGCTTGTTGAGAGAGGGCGATCGTCACACTATGTAAACCAAGAGTCAAGCGATCTACTGTGATTGAAAATGAAGTCAGAAGGGTCTCCCCGGATCCTGAATCTCCGGGTTTGAGTACGGGATTCGGACATCGGACAGTCAGCGCGTAGCAAGAAAGTGTGTACAAGGGTCCAAAAACGGCCACACATTTTAGCATCCAATGTCAAGGGTTCGTTCCCGGTTAGGTAGTCCAGTTCGCAAACTATTATTCCACATTCTCCGGAGCGAGACTGCAAAGTCGTTCAGTTTTCGCCGACGTCGTAGCGTGGTCATAATACTTGGGTTGGACATTCTCGCGAGGCCTTCTAGGGACTTTGCGTACGGGCCGGCCTTCAACAGTCGCCCGGATTGCGTTCGAGACCGTCTCCCCTTGCGCTTTGGCCCGACTACCAAACCACACAGCAGAAGTGACGAGCATACTTATTTAGTAGCGGCTCACGATCGTCATGTCCCAGGCAGTCGGCGTGCCAGACTTCAGCCCTGTGCGACCTGCTATCCCCGTTGCTGCTGGTCAGCAACTGCTTATTGAGAGTCTGATTGGCTCGCCGTTAACCTTTGCCGAAGGCCGTTTCGCCATCCGCCGCGGACAGATTCGCCGAGCAGTCAGGCTGACGGGGGGGCAAACGCGATTTCCCACAGAAGCACGCAGCTTTAGATTAACACACTGAAGGGAATGGATGGACAGATGCGTTCACTCCCCCTCCCCCCCCCCCCGCCGCCCCGAATCCAGAAGCTACGGAAAACCAGTATTTCATAAACGCGTTTGACACAACCACTCTCAGACCTTAGATGGGAAAGTGTTGCGCTCCGGGCTAAAAAAGCATCAGTTTCCTGACAGTTCGACCGTCGTGACCGAAGATGTCCACCGTGGCTTGCGCAGCGTCTACCGCACTCCCCCCTCCCCACCTGGACCCGGTGTCAAGACAAAGTCAAGAAGACCGGAGATGAGGGTGGGCGCGGGTGGTTGGTGCGGCCGGGGCCGCACCTAGGCGTGCCACCACACCCCCTGGTTCACAACAAACATTTGGCCCAGATTTTAACCAACAGCAACAGCACCAAAACGGGTGAGAAAGACGAGGATGACTGGACAGCCCCGCGGAAGCGCAAGCGCGTCCAATGGCAGGGGACCAGGGAATCAGAGATTTGCAAGCGCCCACAAGGCTGCGAGGGTCATGGCTTGCTGATCGTGGCATAGCAGAGGCTTACGACCCTTTAAACGGTTTCCTCAATGACAGTTGAAGGGCGCATCTGATTGGGTGGTCGGGCAGAAGATTTAGAGTACGGTCCTGAGGGCTTGACTGGTTCAAATGAGCTTGCTCGTGTCTGTGAGCCGGGGAGAAGCGGCTACTCTGATTGGCTAAGTACAAGCGTCGACAGAACATGTGCGTTCGAGTCAAATCAACATAAAACAGCGGACAAAACGAGGTCGACTTTGAAAATAGTGTATTTAGAAAAAGAAGAAAAAGGGAAAAAAATGGATCAAATAAAGAGGGGACTGGAAATACAGAAGACGGAATCGGGAGAGATATGTGCAGATTGATAAAATAGGAGCGGCGCAAACTTCATCAACGCTGATCCCGTTTGCCGAATGAGAAGGGTTTTCCTGAAAATGAAAAAAAACCACCTTTTCGGTTAGCGAATAGGAAATTATGGTATGATGGCTTTCTCGAAGACAAAGGCTACAACCCACTGTGCAGAGACAATCGTACATTCCTCCATGCTAACACGAAGATACAAACCGACATCCATAAAACGTGACCACGGGCATGAATCAAGCATACTCAAACTAGGAGGACTTGTTTTGCCTCAACAACCTGTGTAAATTAATTTAGGATTATGACTCGAGTTTAACAGTATCTCAATCCCACAGCGGCAGTCTTTTCCATAACCGGACACATTTCACGAATGTGTGAGGGGGGCTTAGTTGCCAGAACTTGCCAGTCGGTCTTATTCACTTTTTTTCCTTGTGTGTTCCAGGCCTGTGTCACAAATTCGATTAGATTCGCCACTTTGTATACCGGGAGTGACCTATAGAGCGGCCGTTCTGGCAGGTTACGCGTGCACGGCTGCGCCCCGTTTGAGCAAATTCACACAATCACGACGGGTTTGCGCTAACACTATTGGCTCAATTCGACCAATAGGAACAGTCTATTACAAGAAGGGCTTAGAGGAGCTTACCAGGCTGTAGAATCCGCATTACTATGGTGCGCAGAATGTCAGTCAAACTCTGTTTGTCTTTGGAGGAGGTCTCAAAGTACATTACTAGAAACAAGAATGATAAGGAGGGAGTTAGTAATTGGAGACAAAATCCTAAAATGACAAGGATTCCGCAAAATGTGTGCAGTGGATCATTGCCAGCATCGATCGGCACACCATAAATTCAAAACTGATAGGTAGTAGGATCTATCTGACATTAGAAGTCCATGTACATCAGATCAACTGGTGAAAAGCTAAGACGATCGGTAACTCTACCAACAAGCACGAGCAATACTCAGTGTCACAGTAGGTCACAGTCGGATCTTGACTGTCTTTAGAACGCGGTGGTTATAATAGGCTCTTTTGCAGAGATGCAGCAGGTTGTACTCAAGTCGGCAGTCGAAACAGACCTGAAAACGAACTTCTCAGAACAAAGAAGGTACCCAAAAGTTTCGAAGTCGGAGATGGCTAACCATTCGAGGCTGACCGTGAAGCCCCCGGAGTCTGTTATTTTGAGTCGAGAAATCCGCTAAACAGGCAGAGGAAATCGATTACCGGACTCATGAGAGTCGCGACATGAGGCAGGACACCTAAGTCTGCACGGGTGTGAGACGTGCACAGCGTCCTCAGAAGACATCCGTCAGCTGGATGCATCCTATCAGTGGTATCTACGCTCCATCCTTTGAATTAATCTCTTCAACCGTGTACACAACGGTCGCAGACGGTCAACTAATAGCATAACCAGTCACGCGGGCTTCATTTATTCGTGGGGCCGTGTGGGGTTCGCGTAGATAGGTCGTTCAGCCTTGTCATCCACTGCGTCCAATCTCATCACCAGTTGTTTGACAGGCTCGGAGAATCGACTGGCGCTCGAGAGCGGGAGGAGAAAATGGGATCGACATTGGGGGGGGGGGGGGTTTACCCCACGCCTCCTGAGTACATCATGACACGATAAAAGTCCTGGCTTGGAGGGGTGCCAACTGATAGGGTTACTCGGCTCCTCTCGGGACTGAGAGACAGGCTCGATGATCCCTTTTTACAGTTGCCTTTATGGCACTCTCGTGGGTGTGAGATCCAAGTCGGCGCGAGTTAGCTCGCGCGTGACACGCGTAGACCTGCGCCAGCGTTCGCTTCCGGCAAGGTGGGTGAGTGGGGGGGGGGGAGGAGGAGCGTGGCAGGTGGTGCAAGAATTCGACTCACCATAAGAGAATTCGTGGTTGGATCGCAATTGGTAGTCAGGAATGGGAAAGCGGACGGCCAGGTTCCTGTCT